CAATAAGTCTAGTTTACTCATACGAAATTTTAGCTAAAATTTCAATCGGGAAGGCATTCAAATGAATTCTTGAAAATAACTGCGCAGTTAGAAGCGCAGTTATCTTCAAGAATTCATTTGAATGCCTTCCTGATTGAAGTTTTAGCTGCAATTTGGTATTCCTAAACTAGACTTGATGAATAAGATGCTCAAAAAATTTCATCAAAAAATTCCACCGGGAACCACCCCAAATGACGACGGCCGGACAGAGTCTCCTAAATAAGGGTTTATTTGACCTTTTTTTGTTAGTACATGAGCCTATTTGCACCTTTTCCCTAAGAGTATTATAAGGGTATTTTTGTATTAAAATGTATCCAAGATAGTAGTTTGAAGTTTATTTTAAACTTTTGGATCTGCCCAAAAAGAAAAGTTAGAAGTTTATTTGAGACCGGAGGTCGTATTATTTTTTAAAAATAATTTATTACCAAATAAAGCATAATAAAAGTATAAACATGTTAATAGTGGCAAAAAAAATTGAATTAAACCCATACAAGTTTCACATTTTAATTGGGGCAAAAAAGAATTTGATTGAACATTGTAAATTAACATAGAAAAAGTTAAATAAGATTGAAACATTTCAAGAAGATGAGAACAATAGTTCTCAAGAAGTGCTAAAATCATTAAGCTTTTGGAATACTAAGACTAATTGAACATACAATTGTTATAATACTTTTCTCAAAATGTAATGACAACTTTGTATGTCATTATCGTAAAAAATTAAAGATGATTACATTATGAACATAAATAAATGCATTCGACGTTGAAGTTATTATGATATAGAAATTATATATATTTTGTAAGCGTATGAACTATAAGGGTAAGCACAAATTGTAGATTTGAGGAATCCTTCGTTCGTTTGTGACCATTGTATGATCAAAATGTGTTATGAAGAGCGAGTTTACAAAGTTTCAAGATCAAATAATATATAATTCTCATTATGACGCATGAAAGGTAAAGTTTAATAACTTCCCCTTTTGCAAAGGCCTCAAGAGTTAATGGTCATACAATAGTTAATGAACGAGAATAAACCTAGAATTGAAGCTATCATTATAAGGAAAATATAAGGGCATACAATATGATGTTCTCATTTGAAATTCAGACATAATTTTATAATAATGTAGTTCCCGATATCAATGATTCATGTTACTACACAAGAGTTCATATGTTGTTCATAATACTACGGGGTATATTTTTCCTCATTTACAGTATACTACAGATTCAATACCTACATAATCATTTTTGCCAGTGATATATTTAGATAATTAGTTCAAAAATAAGACGTTCTCAATAACCAGACATATCCAACCGATGTTATAATTGACTAGATACATGATTTTCCATTTGTTATAATATACTAACTCATATACATATATCAGTATGCGTATAGTCCATATTCAAGACTATATATAGAGTATTAAAACTAAAAAACAAAATCATTTTATCCTGTGCACGTCACGAGTAATGATACTAGTATTATTTCAAATCAAACTCTCAGTATGAATCTAATAGACATTACAATCAGAAGATTTACAAACAATATAATAACCATCCAACACTAACCTCCCTTTAACCAACAATAACCATAAGCTCACCGGCCCTCTCACTCTTTGATCAGACATAGAATAGTCCACACCAAAAAGAGCTAGACTATTTGCTAAACATGTTAGAGCTTCGAGGCTATTAGCGGCTGAGTCAGCCTGATTGCCTCTAAACAGATATCTAGCAACTAAACTAAAACAAACTATGAACCTACTGCCCTTATTGTTTGACTTAATAAAAACAAAACAAAATTTAGAGCAAAGGAAAATAAACTTCTACTGATGTACGAGCTGAATCCATGCTTCAAGCATCTTCCAAACCCTGGTTGCACAATTCCTCTCCGGTAACTGTTCATGAGTGGGACGAATCATCCTCATTCCGTCTTCTTCCACCATCACATAAATCTGGAATTCTCCATACCACATGAATGGTCTATCCATCCCAAGAAGATCTCTACCCTTCACGGCCAACAATCAATCCCAGACGGCCACCCACTGAGTCGGTCAAAACAACCGCGTCGATCCCCCAAACAGCCAATAATTGGAGCCCAAATTCGCCCCTTAGCTTTCACCGAACCCCAAGCCACTGGTGTCCCACCCAGATCAAACATAACTGGTGTAGCTTCCATCTCAGTCACCAACAAAGCCAACATAGCCAAACGAAGCATCGGAAAATCAGGCTTCACAGCCCTATCTGACTCAGGTACACAACCACCTCCGAAATGTTTGAACTTCATTGATATCAATCGCAACGCTTCCATAGGATACATGCAAACTCAACCAGCTCTGTAAGGTCTGACTCGAACCTTACCTCAAATTGAAGTGTGCACTGCCAAGGATATGGTCATGCCGTTGTCCGCCGAACCCAACTGTCCAGAATCGCGCGTCACCGATGAGAAGCCGGCCGTCAATCGCCAATTCTAACTCTAGACTAGCTAGGCCGTCCGTGAACCCTAACACACTTAATACTTTAGTTGTTGTAAATTATATTGGTGATTAATCATGATGTTAAATTGTTAATTGAATACAACTCTTGTATAACTCTTTTCTGCAATGATGATTATAATAAATAAATACCGGTACATTTTATCGGAGTAGATATGATGAAAAGTGCTTACTAGCCATAGAAATATATATGTTCCAACACAAAAGAAGCAGGAGATTTTGGATTTAAGACGGAAGTTTAAGATGTTAAATAAATAATGTTTGAATAAAGAGTTTCACTTTTGATGGAAACAAGATTAAATGGGAATGAAAATATGAAATTGCGAAATTGAAATGGAGAGAGGAGTGTAGTTTAATTACCATCTACGATGAAAAGCAAATGCGTATTTAGCTGCATAGTTATATTCAAAAATTAATTTGAATGCGCTCCCGATTGAAGTTTCAACTGAAATTTGGTATGAGTAAACTAGACTTGATGAATAAGATGCTAAAAAAATTTCATCAAAAAGTTGCACCGGGAAACGCCCCAAATTGCGACGGCCGGACAGAGCCTCCTATATAAGGACTTATTTGACTTTTTTATGAAAGTTCGAGGACCTATTTGACATTTTCCCCAAAAATAAAAAAACTGAAACGGGCAGACCAAAACCGAATCCGGTCAAACCGTACCGAAAAAACCGAACCAATCGAAAATGACTAATCCATCGGTTATTCGGTTTACAGTTCATACTTTTGGCTTAAAAACTGGTCGATCAAAGTAAAATAGACCAACAAAACTTGTAAAAACGGCTAAAATCGACTGAAAATGATATGAATTGACCAAAATTGACTCAAGTTTTGTTGACCGATTTTCGGTTTCATCTTTTCTAAAAGCCACTACAACCGACCGACTAAAAACCGAAACCGACCAAAACCAACCGATTAAAAAACCGAAACCGACGAAACAGAACCGACAAACATCCCTAATATGTCATATGCGTCTATTTACTCACGCGTTGCACAATTGGGTAAATGCCCAATATTATTTATGTAGAATACATTTTTCTAATATTTAATCGGAGTGGGATGGAGTAAACTATTCAAAGAAGTGAAAGAACATAATCGACGCATCTCTGCGCCGGATTGCCGTGATTTGGACGTAGCTCGGGATGGATAATTGTGGCAGTGAGAAGATGGTGGAAGAAGCGAGAGAGAGACGTAGGGATAATCAGGACATGGTTAGAATGGAGAGGCTGAACGCTCCATTCGATGACATGGATTTGGGTCATACGACGGGTACGCCACTGAAAGAGGGTATCAATCGAGCAACGGTCCGACCTCCGCCTGAACCACCACCATGGGTTGTACGAGGTGCTAGAGTCCGTGAAAGTTTTCCTAGTAATTTTTATCTGTTTGTCATTTGTTTTCTTGTGTTCATCTTTGTTGTTGGTTTTGACAATTTGTTTAAGTTTTTAGTCTCTCTTTATGTGATTGGTTATGGTTGGATCTATGAGAACATGTTTGGCTGTGTCAAGCTCACTACATGGTTAGCGATTCGTGTTGCTCTTTCAGGGGTGACCGTCTCAAAGTCTCGCCATAGGGTTACAGTCGTAGTTGTTGAAGTTTCAGTTGGTGTCAGTTTTATTTTCCCTTTGCTTGATGTAATGATCCTGAATCACTCTATATGAATAGACTGTTTTGATGATCAAAAAAAGTGAAAGAACATCTAATCTGCAGTCTATAACATAGATCGTTCATAAGATAAGTAATCTTGTTACTATTTACTGCTCCGTAATTAATTCAAAGTAACTTTATGTGTGGCATCATCCTAGATTAATTATTAAATACTCCTATTACATAGCTAATCTTTTTTCGTTTTTCTTGATAACATTTAAATAATAATGATGATGACGACGACGACATGTATACATCGTATACGAAGTACGAAGTATAATGTAATGCACAGATAACGGAAATTTTTGTAATCAAGTAAAGAATCACATATCCCATCCTTTGATAATGATTGACTGAGAAATCATCTCATCAGGCCGGCCTGACGGGCTGTCCCGTCCGGCCGAGCCCGTTTGGGCACCTTCCCGGTGGAATTTTTTGATGAAATTTTTTGAGCATGTTCCTCATCAAGTCTAGTTTGTCCATACCAAATTTCAGCTCAAAATTCGATCGGGAAAGTCGTCAAATGATTTTTGCAAGTTAACTGGTCCGGAATATGTATTTTCCGGACCAGTTAACTTGAAAAAATCATTTGACGACCTTCCCGATGGAATTTTGAGCTGAAATTTGGTATGGACAAACTAGACTTGATGAGGAACATGCTCAAAAAATTTCATCAAAAAATTCCACCGGGAAGGTGCCCAAACGGGCTCGGCCGGACGGGGCAGCCCGTCAGGCCGGCCTGATGAGAAGAGCTCTCATGATTGACTAATTTAAATCAACGGCAGCCAGAACAAATAAATTAAAGCTAAGATATATAGATCCTATTTTTAAATTGATCGACCATATAAAAGATACCCGTATATACTCGAATATGTCGTAATTAATGTCAATGGTGGCTAAATGTCCATTAGTTAAAACTCCGATCCATCCGCAAATAGATATACGGAGTACTTAAATACGAAGTACTAATCTTCCCGAAAGATAATTAGGAGATGCATTAATGTTTTATATTCCGTATTATCGTCTAATAAGCTAATTAACTAGAGATGAAGAGAGAGATCAATGTTGTTTTCATCCAGATCCAGATAATGGGGAAGCGACGGAGCGAAGCTGCCGGCGATGTCATGGATGCCGGAGAGCGTCTCCAATGACAATAATGGCGGCGGCATTGGCGACCCAGATCCCGTACTTGGACTATCCTCGTCTTCAAGGACGTCGTCACAGCAATCCATGGTGGGTGGGCACGGAAAGTAGACGTGGCGGTCGCCGCCCATTGAGCGAAAGCCTCCGCCGGCGCCGCCATCGGGGAGCTGGACCAGCGGAGGCGCTTGGAGCCAGTAGTAGCGGTTGTTGGAGTTGTCGTGGTACTGATCATGATGAACCGGTGGACGGCGGTGATTCTCGGGCCCATAAACACTTCCGCCCCCGCCTCCGCCGCCGTACAATTTCTGACGGGCGGCGGCTCTCTCGCGCTTGTGGGCGTTCTGGTGGCCGCCGAGCGCCTGGGAAGTGCAGAACTTGCGCGAGCAGTAGAGGCACGGGAAAACTCTGGAAACCGGAGCCGGAGACGGCGACGACGACGGACGGCGGCGGTGGGGTGGACGCGGCGGAGTTACTCTGGCGGCATCGCCGCGATCAACGAAAAACGGCTTCAGCAATAGCGCATGATTTCCAGCGCCGTCGACGGAAGCAACCGGCAAACACTGATTATGGAAGACACCCTGAAATGAAGCCGCGGCGGTGGGCGGGAGCGGGAGCGGGTCTTCAGCCGCCACAGAGACGGCGGAGGTTGAAGAATCGCCGACGACGTCGTTCCAATAGTCATGTATCATCATCCCCTGAAGTAAAACAGAAACAGAGGATCGGAAAAGGATGAGGATGAAATGTTTGAGTTTGGAGTGAGTGAGTAATAGTTTTCAGATCAGATCCATGGCGGCTGGCTGGTACTTATATATAGGGCCGGAGAAGATCAGAACGTACATTATACGTACGTGTATATATATACGTAAAAAGGAATATATACGTAGATGGAGGTCGGAAAATGCCAAAAATGGGCGAACCGACTCTGTATACGTTGCGAATGGGTCCAAAGAAAAGGACGTACTATACGTACGTATACAGGGGCTGCAGTATTTGCAAGGCCGGTCCTGTCCAGTTTTGGGCCTATGGGCGATATCTATTTTGGCCTTATTTCCAAGACAAACAGTAAATTATACTTACTAAAAGTAAAAATTACGAAGTATAATAAAACTAGGAGAAATTACTCTAAATACGACTTAAAACGTTTGTATATTCCAACTAGGATTATCATGTTTTTATTCTCTAAATAGAAGTAATTAATATCATATTTTGGCAGTATCATATTTTACACATAGTAGTATTTTCCGAACATGACAATAATTACTCCTATTCAAAAAATAAACACATGACAGGCCTATTTTGAAATTCTAAAAAATTACTCTTATTTCAGGAATTCTCCCTACAACTATCTAATAAAGGTTATAAAATAAAGATGAAATTCACCTTCAGATTATTTGAATTGCATATTTGGACAAAAGTAACAACACACGTATCACAAAAGAACATTGTGAAGTAAAATCATAAATAATTGCTTTATCACCAATCTTTTCCAAGATCACACGTGCAATGTTTAAAATTGCTAATCCATTAAGTAATTTGAGGCATAATAGATAATTGGTATGATGTTTGAGAATTGGGAGGCACCGGCAGCCCAAAGACAATAATATAAATTGGTAATTTTGTAATTAAAAGAATAAAAAATCTTAAAGGCTAAAAAGATGTGAAGAGACGTGTTTTTATTGATTCAACAACAAATGTGTTGACTGACAACCAACTCTAAATAAAAATCAAAATTAAATTTATATTCATAGCTTTTTAAAAACTTGTCTAGCTTTGTTCAAGACTTTTTACTTATGTTTTAAAATTCTCAAATTGTCAACAAAAATTACACATTAGGTCTAACTAATTAATTGAAATTATATATATAAAAAAGCATACTCATATTACATATAAAGAAAAAATTTGGGCCTAATTTCTTTCTACTTTTTTTCGGGCCTAGGGCGGTCGCCCCTGCTGCCCTCCCCCTAGGACCGGCCATGAGTATTTGTACGTATATATTGCCGGGCTCTGTGATGGCACCTGAGCATGTGTCTGGGATGGTGATTTGGAGCGAGCATGTGAGATAATGGACGTGGAAGTTATGTACGGGAAGATACTCTCAAGTATATTTAATTTTTGTACATTTCCCAGCTCACATTAATTCCGCATTATATTTCCTTTTTTGGAGTTTGTGGTAGAATATTCCTTCTCCATCACTCCCACAAATTAAACTGCAGATTTTGAACATAAGGGAGAGGATACTAGGAGAGCGGAGTAAATAAATTGTGATATGATTTCATATAGTGTTTCTGTGGAGTGGTTTATAGGTTAATGTCTATAAAGAGTCATCAAAATTGTCACATTATTTCTACGTCATTCGGCCACTCTTCAGCTAAGCTACTCATGCGGATAACTCGTAAGATTTTAAGATGAAACTTATCTATGATAATTTAACAGAGAAAACTTCATGTCAGGCCGGCCTGACGGGCTGCCCCGTCCGGCCGAGCCCGTTTGGGTACCTTCCTGGTGGAATTTTTTGATGAAATTTTTTGAGCATGTTCCTAATCAAGTCTAGTTTGTGCATACCAAATTTCAGCTCAAAATTCAATCGGGAAGGTCGTCAAATGATTTTTGCAAGTTAACTAGTCCGGAAAATACATATTCCGGACCAGTTAACTTGCAAAAATCATTTGACAACCTTCCCGATCGAATTTTGAGCTGAAATTTGGTATGGACAAACTAGACTTGATGAGGAACATGCTCAAAAAATTTCATCAAAAAATTCCACCGGGAAGGTGCCCAAACGGGCTCGGCCGGACGGGGCAGCCCGTGAGGCCGGCCTGATGAGAAGAGCCCTCTAATTTAACATATCTAATCTATTTGATCTGTGGCATCAAGTAGAATTTTTTATCAATTCCTTAAATTCGGTTCATTTGGCCGATTTACCAAACGGATGGTAAATAAATGTCCTAGGTATATTTCTCTAAAAATATGATCTAGCTATATATTAACTCCATTCCTTTTTAGTTGTCAATTTTTTGAATTATATCCCCATCTTGTTGAAAAAGGTTCTCATGAATAAATGACATGATTTTTTAGGTAAGTGATTTAAATAAAGTAACTTAAATAAAAAAGAGAGGAAAAGGAAAATTTAGAAAAAATAAACAGATAAAGTTAAAGTAATTAAAGGGAGATAAGTTGGGGAAAGAAAAATTGTGAGACTTCACATGTAATGAATAGGAAATTAAAGTCAAATTTGGGTAAATGTGTATTAAAGAGAGTACATTATTTCCTAGAATGTAATAACAACCTTTAAATGGGATACTCAAATAAAAAAAGTGAGAACCTTTCAACGAGACGGGAGAATACAATATTCACATACTTTACTTTGACTAAACTTTATTTATTAACGTATTATAAATTAAAATTTGATTTTTTAAAATTCCTTTCCTTTTAAATTTTCAAAATATCAACTTTTCAATCATTTACTAATAATAAGAAATGAAACAAACATCAAAATTGGACGGTAAGTGTGAGATGCGTGCAATTAAAAAGAATAAAATAAGGATGTTTTCTTTTGGACTGTTTTCAGTCCCAGACCAGACCAGACTAGACCAGATCAGACCAGACCAGACTTAAACAGATCAGACCAGACCATACTTAAACAGACCAGACCAGACCAGACCAGACTTGGATAGTTATAAAATACACAGAGACCAGACGTTTACCAGACGTTTACCAGACCAGACCAGTTCAGACCAGACCAGACCAGACCAGACTTAAACAGACCAGACCAGACCAGACCAACAAATTTCAGTCCAAAAGAAAACATCCTAAGTACTTCGTATGTACAATAGCTTTATCTCTATCCGTACACAAAAAAGTGTACATTTTTGTATACAAATCTCCAATTTCATACTCTCTCTAATTCAAAAACAAGTTCCACATTTGACTTCACACATATTAAGAAAAGAAATTTGACTTTACTGTGCAGTGCACTGTTTGACACTGTTTGGACACTATTTGGCACTGTTTGACACTGTTTGGAACTGTTTTGATGTATATAATTTGTCAAATAAGGAAAGGTTTGAAAGTGAGACTTAATTTTGGAACTGCCCGAAAAGGAAATGTGGAACTTGTTTTTGAATCGGAGGGAGTATGTACATAGATATATTGTTTAGTGAAAAATAGTAATTATCTCCAATTATTTGTGTACATAAATGAATGTACAAAAGTGTAGACGTGTAATTACATAATGGCTTTCATTATACCTCATAAAGTGTAGATGTGCAAAAGGGAATGGAGGAAGTATATGATCAAGCTGAATAGGTGATCATGATCGACAGAGTTGACGTCTGGCATATAATCACTATGGCTATGTTTGGTATGATCTAATACAATGCAATACAAAATGCAATGTAATGGAATGAAGTGTCTATTCCATTATTGTTTGGTTACTTAAATAACAACTTTGAATTGTAATCAACATTACATAATTATGTTTCTTTATTTGTGTGTGTGTAGTGTGTGTATGTGTGTGCAGTGTGTGTGTTTGTGCAGAGTGTGTGTGAAGTGCGTGTGTGTACGTGTGCAGCGTGTGTGTGTGTGCGGTGTGTGTGTGTGTTGGGACAAATTAAAAAAAAATTGTTCCCGGCCCGGTCCCGGTACATACCCGGGCCAATATACCCATACGTGGTATAAGTTGTAATCTCAAATACACATATTGTTTAATGTAATGCTTATTACACATATCAAAGTAATGAGTTCCACAAGTGCAATGACCATTACATTACGGTTTAAAATAAAATGACATACCAAACATCGTAATCAAATCAACATGTAATGCTCATTACATTACATGGTTGATTACGTCATACCAAACATGACGTAAAATCACTGCCCACTTGCATTTAGCTACCTTACCATATCATAGACTTGAGTTCTTACGAATTTGTTACTCCCGTGGTGGATTGTCTTACACTTCCATAGTTCCATCCCCGTTAAATTTATCCTATCTCATTAATATTTGTAAGAGGATAATTAGTTTTTAATTTGTTCATGTTTTTTAAATTCGATAATATTTAAAAGCCCTTAATTTTTCCATGCAGAGTAAGGACTGTAATTTGCCCCAGACCAGACCAGACCAGACCAGACTTGGATAGTTATAAAAATACAAAGAAACCAGACCTTACCAGACCAGTTCAGACTAGACCAGACCAGACCAGACCAGACCAGCAAATTACAGTCCAAGTAAAAACATCCTTATTACTATGGAGTATTAGGATGTTTTCTTTTGGACTGTTTTCAGTCCCAGACCAGACCAGACCAGACTTAAGCAGACCAGACCAGACCAGACCAGACCAGACTTAAACAGACCAGACCAGACCATACTTCCGTAGTTATAAAATACACAGAGACCAGACGTTTACCAGACCAGACCAGATCAGTTCAGACCAGACCAGACCAGACCAGCAAATTTCAGTCCAAAAGAAAACATCCTTACTGCGCGAGTGATCCCAAATTATCAATCCAAAGCTACAAAGATCAGATAATACATTTTTATTATTGTTTGAATTATTAGTCAAATTTCATTTATCTATGAACACATATTCATTGAAACTAACCTAAAAGGTTTATCAGTTATCACTGACGTATCGTCGTCCATAATGTAACATGCAGAATGAGTTTATTAGCGTGGATTTTAAAAAGGTAAGAAAAGGAAGCCATTAGGCCATAGCATCACGTTGCTATAATGCTATATGAAATAACCCCCTTTTCGAGGTCCTCTTTATGAATAAACATTCTCAATGAGCCGCATAGATGGTGTTCTATGAAAGTGGGGAAATGTCGTAGTTTCAATTCATGTTAAAATATTTACATTTTTTTTGACGAAAAATATATACATTTAGTATATATACTACATATATACAGGGGCGGACCGTAGTAGAGACTCAGGGGGCAATCGCCCCTCCAACAAAATTTTTTTTAGTGTATATATATACCA